AGTAGTGTTTCACCTATCTAAATTCTATTAAGCAGATAGGGTATATGTTGCATTTGGTGGATGAAAAGAACATGTACTCACAAATAATTTCAGCCTTTTTTTTTCTTTTTTGAAAAAAGAAAGGATAACTAATATATTATATATGTATTGTAAGAACACATACAAAGTTTGTTGGATGAAAACACAAAAAGAGGAATCCAAATGCCAAATAAAGAGATATATGACCATGTTTTGGATCAGAGCCCTAAACATAGAGTTGGTAATGGTAGGATATGCCCACTCTTATCTAAGTTTGTGAATCAACAAAATAGAATCAGACAATTAGAACATAAATTGCAATCTCTCAAGAAAAAAAAGAGTGAAATTTTGGTAGAAAGAGAAAAAACTGGAGAAAAATTACTAAATAATATCCTATTACAATATGAGAAAGAGAATGACAATAGTTGGGCTGATAATTTTACAATTTTGAAATAAATATAAAATGTAAATTTTATTTTCTAGAGGATTTATTTTGTTTAGATCTTATGTCTTATTGAATATTATTTTTAATTTAATAAAGTGGTTTAGTTTTATAATCCTAGTTTTTATTAATATAAATTCAATTAATTTTATTTTAAAATTTATTTAATTAATATTAAATTTTAAAAATAATTATATATATATTGATTGTTGCTAAAATATCATATTCAATGGCCTTTAACAACTAAGATATTATATGATAAAATATTTGTTAGGAAATTTACTCTTTCACTAAAATTGTTGATTATAAATTTAACTTTTGAAGTGATTATATTTGCTTCAAAATAGAATTTAAAATAGCAAAAACTTTAGTTACAATATATCCTTTTTGGAGCTGATTTTATAATTAGAAAATATATTTTTTGAAATAATCATTAGTATTTTTACATATTTATAGTGTAACTATAAATATTCTTACTAAATCATATTTTACAAAACAATAGATAGTTAAACGTTGTTTAAATTATTATATAGCAACCACATATTTTTATTGTTGAATCTTATTTTCTAAGCTAATTTATAAAGTTAGAAAAAAACCTTTTTTTACCTAAATTTTAAATGGTTACTATAACAATTTTTTACAACAATTATAATAGTTGCATAAGAAATCTTTTATCAACAGTTCAACATGGTAGAGAAATTTGTAACTCCCATGTGGTAGGCTTGTTCCCAATATTATTTTACAAAATAATTTATGGTGTAGAGAATTTTCCCTTTTAGTGATGATTGTAATGGTTGTGGAAATACACATTTAATAATGACTAATTTAGATGCATAATTTATTTTTTTGTAACAAAATTTTTTGGATGTTGAACTCACTTTGCAAAACAACTTATTTTGGTTGTAAAATTGTACTTTAGGTAATGACTTATGGTGTTGTTATAAAATAATTTTAGCAATGATAAAATAGTTGTTAAAAGCTAGTATGGTAATCATTATTATGTCGTTGCCATTGTTTTTTACTTACGGATGTATATTGTAGGTATTTTATTTTATTTATTGTTCTTTAAATATAGGTATAGAGTTATTAGTCTTTTTCCTATGACACATAATGCCATAGGAATATGGTCACAAACATGGTTAAACATCTATAGCTAAAGGACATATACTCATGCTTTTTTGTTCATAGATATAGGTTAATTTCAAATGGGATATACCTACAGATTTTTACCATATACGTACAATTTTTGTCCATAGTTAAATGACAAAAATGTTGTAGTGTATTACAAAAGATATTTTGATTTTGTGTAGACTTTGAGCTTAAAAATAATATGTATAAATTGCGGCAGTAGCATTAATACTTCGTCCTAAGATTCCTAACAAAAGCAACAAGTCTCTCGTGACAATAACAAAAGTAGAAAAAACCAAGCACAAAATGAAATTTCATGCAATCACTACTTTTCTATTTTTTGTTGCTGATAAAGAAAAACTTTTCTATTTTTTATTTTAGTGGAAACCATCATTGAATTGTTTTATTGTCGAAACTTTGTATTTTTTATTGAAAATCATGTCATTTATTAATGATAAAGAGAGATTACAAAAATAATTCTTACAGCCATGTGCCACAATGCCTGTGGCAAAGGGAAGCTAAAGATAGCACTAATTGAAGACATGTTGATGATGGATGTAAACAGTTAAGGAAAGAGAGCAATTTTTTTTTTTTAAAAGAAAAAAAGGCAAGCATTTTCCGTTAACATGAAAGGGAAGAGAGCCAGCCGTTATTAAAGATTCCTAAAATTGCCAGCAATAAAAGAGTTATTTAAATAGAGAGATTACCATTGTGAGCATCTTAAATTACCAAGTACTTACATTTTTCTTGCTAGCTTAGGAAGAGTAGTAATTCAACAAACAACAGTTAACACCCATCAAATGTGATATTAAAAAGAAAATGCACTAGTCTAGAAAAGAATTGGAGTCTACTTCAAAAACTAATGAAACCATACCTAAGTTATTCTAGAGAAGAGATGGAATCTCCTTTAACCTCCCATCATCATCATGCCATGAATATATAGTCAAAGCAATCGTAGTTGCTAGTTTAAACCCACCAACCATCTACGTTGCCTTCCTCTTCAATATGGGGCAAAAGCGAATACAAAACATTAAAAGAGTTCAAATAGAAAGCTCAAAAGTGAGAACCCAAAAAAAAAAAAAAAAAAAAAAAAAAAAAAAAAAAAAAAAGGAACTGTTAAAAAAAGAGAAGCTTTCACCTTTATTTATCATCTCCAATCTAAAGATATATTAAAGCAAAACCAAAAAATCCTTTTTGTGTTCACATTATGTGTTCGCATTTGTTCACACTGTGTGTTCACATTTGTTCACACTGTGTGTTCACATTTGTTCACACTGTGTGTTCACATTTGTTCACACTGTGTGTTCACAT